TTCCTCTGTCTGCATGGGTGGGTAAAAGAATTCTCTTCACTGTGACAAGCAGGATTTTAAATAAAGCCTTGAACAAACTGCTGTATTCTGGATTAAGATAACCTGCTGAGGGACTTTTTAAATTTTTTCTTTGTTTTTAAAGAAAGCTGCACATAAAGCTTATTTTATTTTATTTCCAAAATCAGAAGATTGAGTGTTAGCTTTGAATCTCTTTGTTTTTTGGATGAGGGAGCCACCTTGTAAAATTCAGACAATATCATTTGAGCTGTATTGTGGCATCATAAGTGAAAAACTCCATCATCTTACAAACATAAAGGTCCTCATCCAAGTCAATGAAATCACTTACATGAGATAAGTGATTCCACTGCATCTGTTTTTTGTAGGATTGGTTCAGAGTTGTGTTGATGAAGGAAAGATACTTTTGAAACTTAGACATTTTTATAATAATATATATTATTATAATCATAATATTATCATAATATTATTTGTGCTTAGAAACACAGATGGAGCAGCAAATCATTTTTACATAAATACAGGGAGCAGCTTTTTGTTTTTAAGTAAGTTATCAAAACTTGAGGTTTTATGTTGTAAAGTTAACTGTGTACAGCAAACAGTTACCTTCGTGTTACTGTGCTTTACGTGTCAAAGAGCTGCCCATGAATGGCATCCTGTGAAAGAAATTATCTTCTTCAAAGTAACATTTAGAAAGATCTCTTGAGTAGGCACATTTACCAATGAATCATGTTAATAAAATGAATCTATAGTAAAATTAAAAAGGACCAGAAAACATAGGGAAATTCTAACCTTAAGAAATTGCCCCAGTTTTTCACTAAATGAATCGATTACAAATTCTAGTAAATTCATAGCTAGAAAACTAGCCCTGAGTTTTCTTTTTCTTCTGAACTTTGAGTACTCATGTCATGTCAGAAATGTTTCATTACCTTCTTGTCTTGAATTTACCACAGTATGTCTAGATATTCTTGTTACTTGTTAAACATATTCATATTTAAGCAGGTCCTTCCTGCCTCTATAAGTTATTCCTAACTTAGACTAAGACTTATCCTTGTTGCCAGAGCGATTTGAGCAGTTTTGAAAATCCTGGTATTTATGTGAAAGAGCTTGACACCTTCAGCCCTCATACTCCACCAGGTACTTCTGTGTGGTTAATTGTGGTTTGATTCTGGGTACCCAAAAAAGTAGTAGACACCATATATAAACCATCAGAGACCCAACCTTGCTGCAGAGTCTACATGGGATGTGACAAACCAACTGAGGATCATAGTAAACACAAAGTAAAGGGAAGGAATAGACAGAGAGTGCCACTGAAAAACCTCATCAGCATATTTGGGTAAAGACTTGAGTGCCAGGTGAATGTTTACCAGGAAAAAAGTATGCAGGCAAAGTTAGACTTCATCAGCTAAAACATCACATGACTTTCTCAGAAACAGATGTCATTCAGTAACACCTAAGATTACTATACCTGAACAGAAAGGTTTGGAGAAAAATTAATTTCCTCTATATTGGAAGAAATTCAGTATAGTCAGTAGTTTGTATAAACTCAGGTTCATGGTGTCCCTTTGTGTGATTCTAACCTAGTAAATGGGGTAAAAATATTTTTAAAAGTAGTCAGATATGATTGCAAAATCTTAGCAATTTGGCAGTGGAGCTGAGAGCAACCATAGTGCTTGAAAATGCTTCTTTACTCCCTTAACTCTTCAAGTTGACCATGCCTCTGTGTGTGTAGTGTTACATGTGGAGCTTCAGAGGATGAACTGTGCCCCCTCTGAAAATGTGTCACAAGGAATCAACTCCTTGTTTTGCTTACATCAGAGTAAATACAGAAAAACTGCAGCTGTCAATGGAGTTTCTCCAGTTATATGGGAATGCAGTCTTGGCTGCAAGGGTCTAATGGAAACCATTTAGGGCTGACTGAAATTCTGAGCTGGCTCTGGTCATGAGTTCTGGTTTTCATTCTGAACCCTGCACAGATTAGCTTTTCCTTTGAAAAGAAACCTTGTGGAGGAGTATCTGGACAATGTCACAGCACAATAGATATAAGCCATATGTGGAAGTTCAGCAACTGGTGGTTTTAATTCCTGCTAGTTCGGTTTTTCATTTTTATTGCCACCATCCTGTTTTCAAATCACTTGACAAAAATCAAGTCTCTCAACACCCTTGTGAAGTTGGTAATATAATTATTATCACTGTCTTTTAAAAATGAGGAAACTCTGGCATGGTTGTCAAAGGCAAAGTTTTCTATAGCAGCAGTTAATTTTTGATGTGCCTAAATTTTGCAGTGCTCAACCTGAGACAACAGACTTTGGTTATTCAGTGTTGCTGACCACTTACACTTCCTATTGCCTAAAATATGAGTGGTTAGCACCTTTGAAAATTGGGACAGAGAGATGACGTACAGGACTTATCTAAGATCATAAAACAAGAGGCAGTGGAACCAAGAATAGATGCCAGTCATTTTGAAAGTGCCTTAAAACCACATTCCCTCTTCAAAGCAACAGGGAATGAGCAAAATGAACATTTCTGTCACCTATAAACTATATTCTAAGGGTGTTATTATGGTTCGTATGAACTTGAGCCATGTTGTTTGTCAGGAGAGTATCTCTGAACTGCACTAGCTACACATTCAGTGAGCATATATTAACCAGTTTCTTGTCTGTCAGTGCAGTGTCAGGGCATCAGCAGTGCAGTGCCTGCTTTAACCTGTGACATGTTGTAGGTTCCTGATTTTGTGCTTTGTTGTGAATTAGTGTTTGAAGAGGCAATTTTGGGGACTTTTTTGATAAACAATTTCTTGCAAAGGCAAAAACTTGATAGAACTGAAATGGGGCTCCTATCATAGACACTGGGGAGACCCCGTGTAGTAGGTACACCAAGCTTTTCCCTCTGCCATCAGGATAGTCACAAGCAGATTCATAGCCGTCACCTCCTTCCCATGCAACTCATGGGATCTGGAAACCATTTTGATAGTGCTAGTCTTTCCCTCACTGCATATTTAGAGCAGAGCTTTCCTAAGCATGGTTGCCTCTTCAATAGGTTCTCCAACAATTCAATGGGTGGGAAACTGGCTGCGGGGTCAGACCCAGAGAGTACTAATAGACAGATCTGTGTCGACCTGGTGGAAGGTAGCCAGTGGGGTCCCCCAGGGTTTGGGACTCAGACCAGTGCTTTTCAACATCTTCATCAATGATCTGGATATGGGGGTGAAAAGCGCACTGGCAAAGTTTGCCAATGACACTAAGCTGTGGGGAAGTGCGACCACACCTCAGGGTAGGTGGATGATCCAGGTGGACCTAGACAGATTAGTTAGATGGGTGGACCAGAACCAGATGCTGCTGAACACTGAGAAGTGTAAAGTGCTCCATCTGGGGTGGAAATATCCACAACAAACTTACAGGCTCGGAGGTGCCACGCTAGCTAGCACCACATCCAAAAGGGACCTGGGGGTCATAATTGACCATAAAATGAATATAAGCCACCAGTGTGATGCTACAACAGAGCAAACAATATACTGGCATGCATCAACCGATATATCTCAAGCAACACTAAGGAAGTTATTCTCCTGCTCTCCTCAGCATTAGTGAGGCCGCAGCTGGAGTACTGCATCCCGTACTGCATCCAGAAGCGCTGGACTTCAAGAAGGCTGTGGAGAAGCTTGAGAGAATCCAGAGAAGAGCCACTCATATAATTAGAGGCCTGAAGAGAAAGCCATATGAGGAAAGATTGACAGATATAGGACTGTTCAGTCTAGAAAAGAGAAGACTTCCGGGGCATTTGGTGGCAGCTTACATATATATCAGGGAAGAGCATCAGGGGCTAAGTGAACAACTATCCATCAAAGCGCCCCAGGGGAAAAGCAGGAGCAACAGTCATAAACTCCTAGAAGAGGGTTTCAGACTTGATAAAGGTAAAAATGTCTTCACGATTCATGTGACCAGCCTCTGGAATGTGGGGGTAGTGCAGGCATCTACCCTGGAGATCTTCAAAAGGAGACTAAGAAGTCTTTCCTGCCCAAAGCAGGGGGGTTGGACCTGATGATCTCACAAGTTGCCTTTCAGCCCTAAACTTCTGTGAATCCGTTGATGGGCTTCCTTCACTGGCTCCTTCACTGTAGAGTATCCATTTAGGGAAGTCATATTTCATCCCTCCAGATTTGATTGGAGGTAGAAGCCATTTCCTCATGTTTTAAGACAAACAGACAAAAGTAACTCCAAGTAGCATGCTATGGTATAGCAACTTGGACTTGTTATGATACTCACAGAACTCTGTCTGTTGATCATGGCTGGACAGGTAACAAGCTATCATCTGAGAACAGTCCATCTACATGGAAAATCCTCCCTATCTATCTTTATTTGGTTTCCACATTGAAGGACATATCACCTTTTACCTATCAGTTTAGCATGATGAACACCTCAGAGTCTACACGTCCCACCCAATACCTGGTCCAAAATTTGAGTCTTGATCTTGGCTTCTATGTGTCAAATTCAAACCAGCACATTAAAATCATGTTGGAAATGTATTCAAACATTGGCTACAAAGAAAGGTCTTTCTAGGAGGAGCGTTACTCTGTCTTTACCATAAATCTGTTAGATTAGGAGTGGGCAATTATTTTGGCTGGAGAGCCACTTACTGAGATTTGATGAGATGTTGAGGGTTGCACACATAAAATTAATGGTGAAGATATCGTTTTAACAATTTTTTAGCATATGACTTGTTTATTATCTATAGTCAAGCATCTACTATAAAATATTTTAATTTTATTTCAAAAAATAATTTTTGTCCTGATTTATGGTTTTTTGAGCAGAGTATATAGAGGCAATGTCATAACAGTTGAAAATAAAGTCTCTTTCCCAAGGGAACCAAAACCAGACAGCAGAACACTTGAGTAAGGGGGGACACCCCCACCCCCAGCAGATCCCTGCCACTTCCCCCGCCTCCATCACAAGGGAGCTCCTGCCTCAGCCTGCACCCTGACATGCCCCTTAAGAACCAGCACCCCAAGCCCACTTGTCCCCCACCCCTTCCTGCCTACACTTACCCCCACAAAGCCCAAGGAAGCCCAGCAGCCCCCTCCAGCCTACTCCAGCTCCCCACAAAGGCCATGAAGCCTGTGCCCACCTGCAGCTCAGGGATCCCCTTTCTCCCAGGAGGAGCCCCAGCCCTAGCCCTAGGCCCAGGGTGCTGGGGGAAGCCTCACTAGGGCAGATGGGACAGGAGCCTTGCTGGCTGTAGTCAGGAGGCAGCAAGTGGCCTGGCCAGACTGCAGTGCTGCACAGGGCAACGTGAGGCCAGGGAAGCTCACCACCTCCAGGCACAGATATGGAGTACCCACCACAGGGCCCTAGTGCCCAGGATGGCTCTCACCAGCTCTGAGCTGCAGGCAGGTGGGGCACCACCAGACCAGCCTAAAGTGGGTGCTGGGGCCCAAGCACAGCTTGCCCAGGACCTGTCACATAGAGCTAGGCAGACAGGCAGGGCTGCTTCCTCTCAGTGTCCCCTGTGGCACCAGCAGAAGCTGGAGTCAGAGCCACCACCCATGACACCTGCTCATGCGCTAGATAGAATCATCTGAGGGCCAGATATGGCCTGCGAGTCAAGTTTTGCTGCCTCCTGTGTTAGATGCATTAAAAAATATTTTGTAATAAATGTATACATTGATGATCCTTAAAGACAACCCTATGAAGGAAGTAAGTGATCTGAGGAGAGATGCTGCCATGTAAGAGAACTGGAACAACCAAATATATTGACGGTTGATGCCAAAAGAGGCAATGTCATCTTCTTGGAATCCTTCCATCTGAAATATGATGCACTCTGCAATTACTAAACTCCATATTATATTAGATGTCTGTCTGGCATGCTTCACCGTTCTTATATGGCGAGATTCTACTGGAAACAGGGTTATCAAAAGTGCCTCACAAGCAACGCAGCTTAGCAGCATGTAACTAATATGTGTGTTTGCAGTAAGGAAATTCTGCAACAGGGTTGTTGTAAAAGTTGCAGGTAGGATTTGAGCATCAAATGTCTGTACGATCCCTTTGGAAACCATGCTAACAAAAACGAGACTGTCTGCTTTCGCTAGATCTGAAATAAAAACAACAGTGCATTTGTATGAAATATTTGGAGACTTCAAGATGAGTGTTGTATATAGGCTGCCCAACAATCCCAAAAGTGTGAGGAGAGTATTCGAAGAAGGCAAGACTAAGTACTGGATATATTTGAGTACCAGGTATCTTCTGAGATCTCTCATGTGGTCCCTCTTCATGAAAATATTAATTAAGGAACATATCCTGTAATAGACATAGAAAAGACTGTTTAAGTATAAGCAGGATAGATTTCAGACAACTTCAAATTTTTTCCACGTTTATTCTAGATACTAGCTAGCCTTTGCCTTACTATACTACAGTCATGACACGGGGTTGTTATCCAGCTTCCTAACATTTATTGCAAACCCCGCCCCCCCCCGAACATTGCAACAGTTTTGAAAGCAACTGAGGATAGATTTAAAGGATAAAAATATGACTCTAGTTAATAACAATGGCAATCTGGAGTCAGTTCAGTTATGGGTGTATGAGTGTAACTGAAGTTGGAATATGGCCTGATATCCATAATTTGTTTCCCATGTTCACCCCATACATATTCCTCTTATTTGTACTTATTGTTCTGGAAATTATGATAGGAAAGTAGATTAGTATATTGGTATTTTTTTAAGTTTTTAGTGAGGTTCCCCCTGCCCAAATATGATATCTGACATATTAAAAGAAATTAAGGATACAGCTGGTGCATATCATTCAGAAAAATACGCAAATCTTTTAAAAGGTCAGGAAGGATCCCTTCCAAGAAATGGGAAATGCATCCAAGTTATTTCAGTAAGAACACTGTAACTATTGGCAAGAAAGTATTCCATTCCTGATACTGCCATTTGCTAGGATTCCTAGAAAACTCATTTTCACACTTCTGTAAGCTTCTGGAAATCCCTTTTGAGAAAGAGGCTACTGTCTAGGACAATCTGTCTTCTACTTGCCACATATCTGACAAGTTCTGCAAACGTCACCAATAGAAGCCAAGTCAGTAAAGAGAAAGGATTGTAAGTTTGGGAGTTAAAAAGAAAGAGGTAGGGCTGTGTGAAGCTTCAGCTCATGATTTGATTCGGAGAAGATCTGGCCTGATTCAGAGGCTGAATCTCCAAATCTGAATTGAATCATTAGAAGCTTAAAACTTTCTGAATCGATTCAGAAAAGACTTGGAGATTTGGAGATTCAGAGGTGGTGTTTCAGGGGAAACAGAAACTTAGAAGAGGGAGAGGGAGCGGGGGAGGAAGGACTGACATCTTTAGCTGGCCAGTGAGTGTGATCTCTCCCGGAGTCCCCTTCCAATCACAGTGTCTTGGGGAGGGACATAGAAACAATATAAAAGCCTCTGTCTGCAGGCTTCCTGTGCCTTTTGTGAGCTTGTTCTGTCTGAGTGAGCAACAGCATCTAAAAGGTACTGGACTGACTTGACTTCTTACTCAGTTGCCTGCTCCTGTTTGCTCTTAGAAAGGATTGGATAGGATATAGCTTAGCTTAGCTTAGAATCTTTCTTCTTTACTTATCCAATTCACTTCTTTAATTTATATTTGTTCTCTGTTTTTTTCCAATACTTTTTAAAAAGAAAGTTCAGTGCTTTCCCTGGCAGTGTGATTCATCACTGTGCAGGGAAGCATACATTACACACTCTCACACACATCATAGAAGAAGTCAGATATTCATAGAAGAAAAGATTATATATAGTTATTAATTATTAATATTATTAGTTATAGTTAGTTGACATACAGACTAAAGACAACACAGAAGAAGTTTCATAGAGATTCAGATTGAGATTAATATCATCATAGCAGAGTCCACACACAACACAGAGTAAAGAAAACACAACACAGAAGAAGTCACATATTCACATTCCTAATTCATATCACATCACAGAAGAAGACACTATATATAGTTACTAATAATCAATCATAATCATTATAGCAGAGTCCACACATAGCACAAAGTAAAGAAAACACACAACACAGAAGAAGTCAGACACACACACACACACATTTTCCAGCACAGGAAAGATTAATATGAAGCGTGCTGTAAAGGCAGGTGGCAGGTCCTCTGGCTGATCTGCCTTTAGCTGTGCTGGCAGATAGCAAACCTGGGATCATCTGCCACCTCAGAATGATCCCACACTACACTACTCCCCCGCTTCTGGTTTGGGGGTGGGGATCCTGCCTTATCCCCCTCCTCAGCAGGCTGAGGTACAACAGCAGGAGGAGCTGACTCAGCTGAGCCACTTGTCTAAGACTCCACAACCTCAACCTCAACCTCCTCCAAGGTGCTTTCAGGAGAAGGAGACCTGGGTCTCGGGGAACTTTGAGGGGTATGGAGCACAAACTCAGATTTCTCCTCGGTCCCCAGAATTGCTTTAGCTAAGGCGCTCAGATCCCCTGGTTCCAGCTCCACCTCCTTCTGTGGCAGTGGGAGGCTCATGCTGGGAGATGAAATTGGGGTGGAGGAGATGGCCATTCTGCTGCCTATTTCTGGAGGTGGTGCAGGTGCAGGAATGTCAAGTCCTACTCCCACTTCTTTGCTTCCACTGGCAGCAGAAGCCTCATGGCTGCTTGGGAAGAGGATGGGTCTATGTTTTGAGGGGGGAACTTGCAGCTCTAGCTCTCCCCCTACCCACTCTAGCCCTTCAAAATGCAGGAAGGCGGCTACCTCCACCACAAGAGTGGGTTCTCCTGCCTGCTTTAGGTTTTTCAGATAACCATAATGCAGGAAGAAGCATGCACTGGTGCTGCAGCCCTTTCCAGGGCAGGTTCAATTGGTCATGGTGGCAACAGCACCCAGGTGAGACCCAATGAAGTAAGCTGAGGCAGCACAGCAGTGATTCTCGACCAGAACTCTGTCAAATTAAAAGATGTTACAGAGCAGTGCCCTGAATTTAAAAAGGTTGAGAATCATTGATCTAGTTCATGTAGTTGGTCTTTCGCTTTTCCTTTGATCACCTTTCTTCTTTTGTCATAGACGCTCTTCTTTACAGAAGCCTGTGAGGCTGCCAAAGCTGCCTGTAAGAAAAGTAGTTTCAGTCCTGCTAGCAAAACCATCATGGCCTCCACCATGCGCGTCAGCTTTTGTATTTGTATTTATCAGGAGTATTAAAGTTGCAACCTTTGGAAGCCAATTTCAAACACTAAATAACTAGAACCTGGCCACACTGCTATCTGCTGTAATCATACATTTTTTATGATAACCATCTAGAGGCCATATGCCATTTCCAAGCACATTTTATAACAAAAAATGCTGTTCTTGTTTGTAATATCCTTTTAAAAGACTGAAAATAGCCTGTTAGTCCTTTAACAATTTCTGTTTAGCAAACACTGACATATTATTCTATGTGTTCAACAGGGCTAAAATTAGTGACTTTCTCATCTCCCATCAAATATGGTTACATATTTCTGGGTTGTTTGTTAATTTGGCCTCCTAATGACTCTAGCTCGGGGTGGGCAACTATTTCAGTTGATGGGCCACTTAATGAGTTTAACGAGGTGTAGAAGACCTCACACAGACAAAAAATATGCCTGTGCACTAGGTTCTGGAAGTCAGCCAGGGCTGGGGGGATAGAGGGAAGGCCAGGGAAGAAAGAGGTGTGTGCAGCCATAATATATCTGTGCGACCATTACAGCAGCCGTTTCATTTCAAAGATGTGTCAGCCCATTTTGGCACCCAAAACACCAAATCTGAAATGAAACGGAAGGTTCTGAAACATCTCTTAAACAAAATAAAACCATCCAAAAGCTTTTGGAGTTGTTTCAGAGGTGCACTCCAGAAATAGTCCAGCACAACCCTGCAGCCTTCCTTTTAAAATGCTGGGAGGATGGACCGGGCAGGGGATGGGGCTGGGCAGGGCAGCCATGAGGACTTCTTTCATGGCTCTTCCCACCGGGGCAGAAGCAGAGCTCCTGCATGCAACTGGCCCCACCCCCCACCTGGCCCTAGCCTCCCAGCACTAATAAATAAATAAATATAAAGCCCTGCACTTAGTGGCTGCACTAGCAGTGATCAGGGCCTCTGAGGGCTCATAGCAGAGCCTCTGTACACAGCGCAGAGCAGTGGGGGGCAGTGGGGATTGCCCCCCCCCCTCGCTTGGCACCCGCATGGCAGTGATCGCATTGCACAGATGCAGCACAGCTCGGCAGGACGCTGCACACTGTCTGGGAGCTGGGGCCACTGGGGCTGAGTAGTGCCAGGCTCTGGCTGACAGGTGGAGCCACCCCAGCTTCCAGACAGTGCACAGTATCCTGCCAAGCCATGCTGCACCTGCATGATACAACAGCTGCTGCGTGGGTGCCAAGCGGGGGGGCGGGGGGCATCCCTGCTGCCAGCCACTCCCCCGCGCTGCATGCAGGAGTTCTGCCACAAGCCCTCAGAGACCCTGATCACTGCTCCTGAAGCCAGTAAATGCAGGACTTTTTTTTTTTTTTTAAGTTCCGGTAGCCTGGGGGATGGGGCCAGACAGGACATCCATAGGGGCTTTTCCGCAGCTTCTCTGACTGTGCCTGCCTCTCCCTGGGTCGGGGGAGCCACTGGAGAAGCCCCCCATGGCTGCCCTGACCGGCCCCATCCCCCACCCAGCCCAAGCCTCCTGGCACTTCAAAAAAAAAAAAAAAAGCCTCGTACTCACTGGCTCTAGCAGTGGCAATCAGGGCCTCTGAGGGCTCATGCAGCATGGGGCAGTGGGGACAGCAGGGGGAAGTGGGGATCATCCCCCACTTGGCACCCACACAGCAACTGTTGCATCACACGGGAGCAGCGCAGCTTGGCAGGGTGCTGCGCACTGTCTGGGAGCTGGGGTGGCCCCCCTGTCTTCTGGAGCCCAGCACCACTCGGCCTCAGTGGCTGGAGGTCCCAGAGAGCACACAGTGCTGCACCCACACCATGGGGCAGCTGCTGCTCAGGTGCTGGGGGGGGCAATCCCCACTGCCCCCCACTGCATGGGGGGCTCTTTCACAAGCTGTCAAAAGCCCTGACTACAGCTGCTGCAGCCGGTGAGTGCGGGGCTTTTTTTTTAGTGCCAGAAGGCTAGGGCCAAACAGGGGATGGGGCTAGGCAGGGCAGCCATGGGGGCTTCTCCCACAGCTACCCCTGCCTGGGGAGAGGCAGGCATAGCTGGAGGAGCCACAGGAGAACCTGCAGCCGCCTAGCTGTGCCTGCCTCTCACCAGCCAATCTGAATCTCTGAATCAGCACTGAAATAGCATCAAAACTCCGAAACAGATTCAGCTAAATTGAAACAGAACAGTAATCCAAAACACCAAAATGAATAACTGTCCTCCGAAACAGCCAAATCCAGAACTGAAACAAAACATAGCTGTTTCGCACAGCCCTAGCAAATAATACTCTGGCGTGTATCAGTCAATGCATCTCCAGCAAAACCAAGGAAGTGATTCTTCCGCTGTACTCAGTACTGGTGGGACTACAGATGAAGTACTGCATCCAGTTCTGGGCACCACACTTCAACAAGGACATGGAAAAGCTCGAGAGAGTCCAGAGAAGGGCCACCCGTATAATCAGAAACTTGCACGGCAAGCCATACGAGGTAAGGCTGAGGGACCTGGACTGTTCAGCCTGAACAAGAGAAGGCTGAAAGGGGACTTGGTAGCAGCTTACTGCTACATCAGGGGCATACATCAAGGGCTCGGTGAACAACTGTTAACCAGGGCAACCTTGGGGGAAACCAGGAGCAATGGTCACAAACTCCTGGAAGACCGTTTCAGGCTCAACATTAAGAAAAACTTCTTCACAGCCAGGGTATTCAGATGGTGGAATAAGCTCCCACAAGAGATGGTGCAGTCGCCTACCTTGGAGATCAAGAGGAGACTGGATGACCACTTTGCTGGACTCACTTGACCACGGCTGTCTTTCCTGCTTGGTGCAGGGCAATGGATGCAATGATTTTCCAAGGTCCCTTCCATCCCTACAATCTATGAATTTATGAACCTCTGCTTTTGGAACATGGCTACCAAAGGAGGAGGAAGAGCCTGAAGGAGTGATAGTGCGGTTCAGGTCTGTGCTCCAAGGATAGTTCATATTCAGAGAATAATTTCATAGCCTGCATTATCATGCACCTGTCCTCCAATAGCAATACAATAATATCACATAAAACAAACATTTCAGTACAAAATTCTTCACAACTCCATGTCAGAGAATAAACAGAAATGGAGAATAACCAAGTCTAAACAAAACTTCTCAAGGAATCCTGACTTTAATTAAGAGCTGTTAATGTTTAATCAGTGAAATAAAACTGGCAAAATACTTACTTTTGCTGGCAAACACAGCCAAGGCTAGTTTCCTCCATCAGGGCACTCTGTGAATGAGTTGTAGCTCTGCTAAAATATGCTGTTCCCCTTTAATTGCTTCCTGATTTGTATATATATAGCTTCATGTAGTCTGTAGCACGTCTATGTTGCATACTATTGGACTACATTAATCTGAATTTGTTTTGCTAGGCAGCATCGCCAAAGCAGGTTTCACAAGAACTGTTTGAATCATTGCAGTTACTAACTTCACACTGCCTGGAAAAGTTAAGGCTTGGGTTGCGTATAGCAGTAAACACGTCATTCCTCGAACCACATAAAAGAGACAAAAGGAGGCCAAGATGATGGTAAAACTCTAATTTGTCTGGATGTCATACGACCTATAAGACACATCATTCATGACTGAAAGATCAAATTTGTTTACAATCTAATTCACTCACCACATGATACCTTTACTAAGTATAACTTCCATCTGAAGTCAAGAAAAAACTATCAATTCCTGGGGTAAAGAAAAGCTGGCTTAGTGTTTGTATTTGGGTTGTCAGGGTAGGTAGAGCTTGAATCTGAATGGATTTACACTGAAGCAACTAAGGATAATTCCATACTGTCAATGGAATGACACCATGATCAGAATCAGGACTACCAGGATACTTTTGCTGAAAGTTGTCCTCTGGACAGATGCAGGCTGATTTTCCTCTATGTCTGTACAGATGAGAGAGAAGTAAAAGAGACAATCAAACTTGACCTTAGGAACATACTAAATGTTTTTCAAACACCATAAACTGTTGGTATTAACCTCTCCTTTACTACAATGAACAGCCAACTTATAACCAAACCAAGGGACAGTTGTCTGTGATGGAAGAAAATATTGCAAACAAACCTTTGTAAGCAAGCTATAAACGGAGGTTCCCCTGACAGCATTTAACTTTGGACTACTTAAATTATGGTCTCCTTATAGCAATAGGTCTTTTAATAATACAATGCTAGTTCCCCCTCTCCCTCCAAAATTTATTAAAAGTGTAGAAAGAATGAAAGCAACCTAGAATCAATGTGTCCTTGGAAAACTATGATTCTCTCTAAAGCACTAAAAAGGTGAAAAGAATCCCAGCCAAAAATCTGCATTACCATCTGATAGAAGAAAAGCTTTCTTGTAGCATTTATATTTAAATATTTTTCTTAAGGACTGGAGTAGAAATATGTTACAGATACAGAGCAAGTAACGGAGAAAGGGTCTTTGACATTTCTGAGATGAAAATGATTACACTTATAATAAACTCAACTGTAAACATGATGTTGTTTTTGCCAAGATCTCTCAGTAGCTCTTGTTTTCCCTGTATATAAGATACTGGGTTCTTTTATGTCCATATAGGGAGTGGAGAAATCATGTGTCAGCTCCAAGAGTACAAATTACCAGCAGGAGATAAATATTTCTCAACAGCTTGCACTGGCATTGTGAAACTCATTCCCGCAGGGGATATGGCAGAAACCTTTGCTTCTGTGGGATAAAAGGCAACACTCACTTTCTCCAGTCTTCCCACCATAATGGCAGCCATGTTTCAATAAAAAGAGGGAGGAAGGAATACAAATGTCTATTGTAAATCAGGACCAGGGGCTTTCAGAAGAAGATACAAGTAATGTCAGTGAACAATTATGAAAGAATATGATTTTTTTTTCCTTCTTCGACAATCCTAAAAATACCCTGTCTAATGTAACTGGGGATATTCATACTACCCACATGAATGTTTTGCCCTTTTCTGGAGAGATGTTTTGGCAGTAACTTGTGGCAATGAGTTTCACTAATTACTTGTGCACATATTTAACTTCACATGCACTCTCTCACAACCTTAACAAATGTCATGTTGTTCTTTCATTGTAAGAGGATGAATAGGAATGCTGGATTTTTCATTCCCCAAGCTGCTCATTACTTCTGTGTATGTTTGCCCCATTCCTTCACAGAGGTACACTCCTTCTAGCTGCTCAGTGCAAAGCAGATCTCAGTGCCTGGCTTGGCACTCATTTGCAGTTAGTGTGGAGAAACAGGTCTGACCGCTTGGAGGAGCTTGCAGTATCAGATGTTTATTCATCTCCTCTGATCTAAATATCCCCAGGGTGTCCTCCTACAGAAGTCTCTCCAGGTCTTTGATCATTTTCATTGGCTATCTCTGAACCCGTTCATAGATTTCATAGATTTCATAGACATTTGGGCTGGAAGGGGCCTCAGAAGATCATTGAGTCCAGCCCCCTGCCCAAAGGGCAGGAAGTTAGCTGGAGTCATAGGATCCCAGCAAGATAAGCATCCAATTTGCTCTTGAAGGTGTTCAATGTAGGCGCTTGAACCACCTCCGATGGCAGGCTGTTCCAGACCTTGGGGGCTTGGACAGTGAAGAAATTCTTCCTTATGTCCAGCCTGAAACAGTCTCGCAGTAGTTTATGACCGTTCGTCCTCGTCATCCCTTGGGGCGCTCTGGTGAACAAACGTTCCCCCAGATCCTGGTGGTCACCCCGATAAACTTATAGGTAGCCATTGGATCACCCCTGAGCCTGCGCTTTTCCAGGCTAAAGAGCCCCATGGCTCTCAGCCTGTCATCGTAAGGTCTCTTTTCCTGACCTCTGATCATGTGTGTGGCTCTTCTCTGGACTCTCTCAAGCATCT